AGTCGCACGCACAAGTGGCTCTCATAAAAACCACGCTCCCAAGCTCATGCATTCAAATCAGTGAATGTAAACATCTAACACCAAATATCGACATTAATTTAACCTCTCGAATTCCGCAGTTAGCTACCACACGTCGAGTGCTCGTTTTGTATAATATTTCATACAGGACCATTTATTACTTTTTCTTTGAACGTATCTTGGGAGCTTCCATTTTGCGGTCCACTGCTTTTGGACACGATTCAGTTTCGACGGGCAAGTGGTTAAATCTTCAGAAATATCGATGACTCTTATTTTGTTAACATTAGAATTTAAAATCAGTTGAATGGTGAGAAGAAGATGATGTTAGAGCACAAATTTAAAATTAACATTTAATCAATGGCATGTAAACTTTAAGGTCATGAAAATAATGATCAAAATAGAGTTTCGGAAGCTTTTTTAAGTGTTAGTTTTTCATTTTGGCGCTAGGGTCATTGCATCCAGTTGACTCTACATTTTTGATGGTTCGTGCTACTGTACACAACATGATTTTTGATGCATGATCTATAGACGTTAATGAAATAGCAAAATTGATGATGTGTTTCTGATTACTAAGACGTAGGTGTTACTTCCATACACAGGTTTGATTTACTGTAATTTAGCTGAGTATGTATGGTAGACGAACGATCTACATTTTTTCCTTGTATTTTTTTGTGGGAAACAGTTTCGGTGAGAATTAGAGGGTTATTATTTCTTATTGATTTGATCATAATGAGAGTTGAATGCGAATCGATTACTTTGCCCGGTGAGAAGTCTACTTTTTGCTTTGTATGGCCTGAAAAATGCGTATTTTTTATTTCTTCACAAATTAGTAAAGAAACAAATTCAGTTAGGTAGGTGTAGGTATTTAAAAGTAAATAATTACCGCTTAAAAGATAATTTGGCCTGTACTACTTTAGGCAATAATAATAAGAAAGATCAGTGTGATATCTATGCAACGCATTATTCGTATATCAGATACCTTGGTATTGATATACTGAATGCATTGCTGTCAAAAATTCTCAAGAAGAGACGTTTTCTCTAAGTAACCTAGAGAGGTCAACATGAAATGATTATTCATAAAGTTTGATAAAATCAAATTGAATCGCGAGTCAAGTAAGCACAGCGCCATCTAGCGAACCAGTCTCGAGGTATTATGTTGCCTGCCGGGCGATGCTTAGCGCGGCACAACGTGTACTTACAGCCGACTAAGGCTGAAGCTACATCGATCGATGCAAACTGGAACCACGAGTAAAGGGGGAAAACAGAATCGTTTACGAATAAAATTGCTCTTATGCACGTAATACGTTGATCTTGATTTACATTATCTACACTGTTATTATCAAGAGAAAACATTTTTGATTGTTTTGAATTGAAAAGGCTCCGAAAATAGTCAAAGTCAAAGTCAAAATTTCTAAATTAATTAGTAAATAGGTAGTTCTTACAAATCGTCATTTTGCTCTTAAGGAGCCTCTACATGTCTCATAATCTTTTTACCCTACCAGCGCTTCGAGACCAACATTTGGCAAGTGCTGAGAAGAAGCGCCGCAACAAACTCTGACAAAACAAATACTGGTACAAACGCTCATTGCAAATGTTGTGATAGGGATAGAGACATGAGATTTTTGGTTTTACAAAGGCAATACGATAGAAAATAATACAAGGTTATAAAAACCACCTGTTATGGGGGCATTATTTGGAGAAATTTATCAAATAACCAAAAAAACATGAATTAAAAATGCAGATTTTTCTCAAAATGTAATTTTTTTTATTATTTGTTGCCATTTTCTGAGTATTTTATGTATTTTTTAGTATTGTCTGTTATTTATCATTATTAATGTTTTTATTTTATCAGGATACATCTCTTAGTTTAAAAGTTATTACGTTTTCTTTACAATAAGTAATTGCAAGAAAAAAAATCTATAATTTCTTTTTTTTAATCTCAAAAATTCTTGACCACTTTTTTGTCGATAAAAATAGGTCTAGTTTCACCTTTTTCCTATATAGTGCACTTTATCGTGACTCACACTGTATTATTGTTTCAGGTTGCAGGAAGACTTTGAATCTGTGCCGCTTCGACCAGCATTTTTTCATTATAATATACTTTTTGAAGCCTTGACGACCTACTATTTTTTTGGAACATTTAATACCTATTGCCTTTTCCAATATGGAAACTCCAATAAGATTCGCATCATTAATACCTACTTACCTAACTTATAATTATGTAGAGTCAATGACCCGTTGTAGAGTTAATTGCCAGCGTGTGATAAGCCATCAATCCATCACTCAAGTTCTTGAGTTGAGACTCAAGACTCCACGGGAGTCGGCCGGTGTGCCACTTCAAGCTATGCTAAGCGATTTTATGGTATACTTTGAAATAAAATAAAGATTTTTTTAAGTGACATGATTTGCATCTTGCCTTATGGAAAGTGATGATCAGGCTGAAGGTAGAAGTAAGCTTCACCGGGAAGAACATAATCCATTTTACAATATCAAGTTAAAATAAAGTCCAAAACAACTTTGCACCTGTAAATACAGGTAGACCTAAGTATATTGTAGCGTCCAGATTCTGCGTCATTTCTATAAAATAATTGAAATGTGCATAAAAGACAACCAACAAGACATACACTAGAAGACAATCAATGTTTACAACGTATTTAAACTTAAAATCTAAGTGCTGCCTTAATAATTACAGGTTGCCACGGCATGCAATAATGGACTTCCACATTTAAACAGTGTCTATACTAAAAGAAAAGAGTTTCTTCAGCGAGTATTATTTAGCTGGAATAACATTTCGCCAGCGACTTCATGATTTATATTCAATTACTCACATAAAAAAAGATTATTTTAATATCATCCGTTACAAACGTACCATTTTATTTCGAGTCTATTCATCGTAAAGTTTCTGAAAAAGGTTGTTATCCAACTGAAAAAGTAAAATTTTCGACACATCACACATCATCATTTTCACCATCTTGTCACGGTAAGATAGTACCTATTATAAATGAACTACACTGAAATGTCCCACGGACGACATTGACAGAAGGACGCCACTATCTTCGTTCAACTACATGGTTTCCACTGTGGCAAAAATCGGAACTAGCGATCCGCTATTGACGGTGGCCCCCTGTCAGTGTCAAATAATGGACAGTTCAGTGTAGTTCTACTCTACCGTGATCTTGTACACGATAATCTACTGATTTTAGTCATCATTATCACCATCTCGTAAGAAAAAAACATTAGTTTCTCATATCTTAGCTACAAGTGTGGGCCGACCACAAGACTCAAAAGATTAATTCAGTTACTCAATAAACTGTGAGAATCGTGCAAAGAAAACAAATTGATTTTTGATTTGCTACTGTGTAGGTAGGTACATAATGTAATTATAGATTATTTACCTAATACTGAAGGACGCTTATGAGAATGGTCCTTATACAATTACAATTCATTTAATATTGCAAGAAGGGCATCCTTATTATGTAAGGAATGGGAATTCAAATCATTGGAGAGATGGTAGACACCATTTGAATTCCCATTGAACTACCAAGTTTATTCATGTTTTTATTACAATGTTTAATTAATTTGCACACTACTACGAGTAGACTATAGGGTCTAATGTTTTAGATTATTTATTAAAATTCATCGGTTTTAATTAGCGACTGGGAGAGTGATTGATTGATTTATCTTTCACGTCCGACTATAACTGAATATATATACATATAATTATTAGATTTCCGTCTATCCAATCCATTTAGCAAGCTAAGGAGACTTCAAAAAATTAACGTGTAGAGTTACTAAATCTGGTACTTAGGTATAAGCGAGAAACACTTCTATGTTCTAACTAAAGTAAATCTTCTTACTAAAACAATAGTTATTAATTGTAACAATTAGTTATACTATAAAAAGAAAAATACATAATGAAGATAGCATGCATTAAATGAGCGATGCGCAAGAGAGTGGGTTTAATTAAATTACAATATGACCTCTCCACTCGCGCGGCGGGCGGCGCGCGCGCACCGAGTGGTTAATTTTGTGTGGTCACGTGGTTTTATTTAAAGAAAACCGAGTTAAAGTCAAAGTTTTTTCATCAGTACTTAGCACTTCCAGGGCTCTTATACACGTCCCAAATATAGCTTGCCCTACCACTACTTTCGGGGCAATATCAGTTACTACTTTTCGGTAAGCAGTACAGATATTACCAAAAAAGTATAACCAAACGCAAAACCCTTCCATATTTTTAACAAGGACATAGAATTCCCTTTCTTCCCCTGTCTTCACACACTATGAGCTGTCTTAATACACTTATATACGTGGGTACCTATAACTGACTAACGTGCTTTAATTTAAACCAAATGCAGAATCAGTTCCAGTAAAAGTGTAGAGCAATGTAATTTGCTGAAAATCTCAATTTTCTTTTAGTGTTCAAAAAGGATACTTATTATTTTCCATATCTTATTATATAAAATGATCATTTTAATTAGCTGCTTAAACCACGTCAAGTTTAAAACAAAATGCTTATGAAACTTATCATTTTAAAGTTCAACTGTTGCTCACTCCTGCCTGTCAATCAAGGCACATTGATCATCTCAAAGACTGGAGATGTATGAAGCACTGTGACCCCGCTGGCCTGCTGATGATGTTTACACCCCAGGCTACCCCAGGGTTATTTTATTATTTTGTTAAAAATGAATTTATTATGCTGAGTGTTTTAACTCCTGTTAAAATATGATTAGAACACTATAAAATCTATCACGTTGAATTACGTCCAATCACAGTAGACTATGATCGATTTCAAAAATAATATTTTATGCTAGCCTCTCAGAACCTAACCCACAGCCTAAACCTAAGTACAGAAATTAATCTTTGAAAGATTTTAGGAGCTCTATTTTCACTGTTTTATTACTTGTTGAGATGTTGAAGTAAAATACTACTCTACAAATACTTAAAACTTGTTTTATTCAGAGTTCAAAATGTAATAGATCGGTTTCAACAGAGTATCAAAATATAAACTATACAGTCCTAATGGTCTTCGCCACCTTCCTTCCTCGTAATCTTCGGGGGTTTAGCTTCCTCCTTCTTCAGTTTTGTTTTCATCTTCTCCAGCTGCTCCCTCTGCTTGTTATAGAAGAATTCTTCTTCATGGGCAGCTCCGTACTGTCCTAAAGCCCCTCCGGATTCCCTCACGGAGCCCCCTGCACCCCCTCCCTTACCAGCACCAGATCCAGGGGTAGATGGAATGGTATACCCTCGAGTTGGAACTGCCATCCAACCCAGACCACTCTTCTTCTTGGACAGAATGGAATTACGGACTCCAAAGTATGGGATCCTGCTAGATGATATTATTTTCTGCCCAATCTGAGAGGAGAGGTGGTGGATTTTCGGTGTATTCATGTTTTTATTTATCAGCGTCCATTTTACGTTGACAATCGTTTGAAATTTAAGCTTTTGACAGGTGTCATTTTTCGTTTTCTTCTTTCGTCGTTCGAACGAAAAAGTTTTTTATGTTGCGGTGATTAGGAAACACAGTCTTTTATTTTGCCTTAGAAGCGGACATCCCTGTTTTATTAATTCAATCGTTAGATATTACTATTATGTATAAAATTGATGAAGGAACTAGTAGTTGTATTTGCTTAGTTTCGAAGAAATATTCGATATTGTGATTTTATAAAAAAAACAGTTTTAGAAACATATTTTCTAAAAAAATTACATGAAGTCAGAATGGACAATGGGCAAAATGGTACCCGGCTCCAATAGATATGAGTCTAGTATCGTTTGAAAGGTCTTACCAAGATGAACAACTTTCACTATGACCACCAGCCTCAGATCTGGTTGTGTACGAAGATATACATACTTTTTTGCAGAATGGTACCCGGCTCCAATAGTAATGTTTGTAGTGTCATTTGAAAGGTCTTACCAAGACGAACAACATTTACTATGGCCACCAGCCTCAGATCTGGTTGCGTTCGAAGATAAAGATACTTTTTGTGTAACCTAAGTATCATACAGTACGAAGGGGGACGCGCTCGGGGCAGGACACCGACGAGATGGTCGGACGCGGCGAGGAAGACGGTGCTGGGCGGGAGTTTGCATCGTGCGGTCCACACAGCTTATGACCGCAGTCTGTGGTCGCGATCCTCATCAGTGAGGGACCGAGGAAAAAAAAGAAGAAGTATCATACGTGTCCAGTCCATCGTATGGTACTTAGGTTATGCGAGTCAGGAAGGGTTTACTGTTCCAGCATCCTTCCTTTTAACTCTATAATTATTGATGGGGATGATTGTGAAATAAATATTTTTATTTAGAGATGTACTACCCCTTATTAATAAAAAGTTACACCTAGGAAGAACCTTGGATTAAAATGACATTTCCATACCAAATGACAATTTAAGCCAGAGTTCAACTAGGGTGTAACTTTTATTAATAAAGGCGTTAAAGTTTTATTACTTCTTAAGGGTTTTATTATGGGTTGCTAAAGCGAATAAACCCACAAGACCCAACAAGTCCACCCACAAGATGGACCGACGACCTCATAAAGGTAGCGGGAAGGCGCTGGATGCAGGCCGCCACCAACCGGCCATTGTGGAAATCATTTGGGGAGGCCTATGTTCAACTGGACGTCCTATGGCTAAAATGATCACGATGATGATGATGAAAGCGAATAGAGGGCTAATAGCTTGGGTAGTTCATCGTAGGTATAATCCTTTCCTTTTCAATGCTTCTTTTAGTTATATTAATAGATTGTAGTCATAATACATACTCGTATACATGGATGATTGTGTTATACTTTCATTATAATACTTAGTGGAATTATTGCTTTCAAAACGTGAATTAGAACTGGCCCCATAGCAGACATTTTCCTACATCTAAAGACCTTTTAAAATATATATTGGTTATGGCTATTGGAGCGGGTACCACTTTCCATACATTTGTGCCCATCATCCTTTGTAAATAAATTTACCTATCACTGTAACGTCTACCTTTATGCAAAAACAAACGGAACCCAAGTACCCAAGTACAATCTTCGACTTATTGATGAATGATTATAATAATTTGTTGATAGTTTTGGAAAAAACATCAGCTACTTTTGTTTTTTGTTACCTTGAATCTAAGTAAGGTAGGTACTTACTTCTGTTAGTGACTATCGAGGTAATTATTTTCAGGATTCTATTAGCAGTTGATAATATGATTTGTTACAACAAATGCGTTTACTTTGCTAATTATGGAAGGTTCGCACTAATTATTCTAATTATTCATTATGCTGCTGCCATTTTTATGGGTATAAATTGACCACAAACTCTCCATAATGGCTCAGCCTCAGAAATGTATTCGAAAAAGTAGTCTGTTCATCGAATTTGGTGCAAATGGAGGCTTTAAAGGTAAATATTTTTTCATACTTGTACATGTAATTTTTTTTTTGTCTTTAAGCTTGATTATTAATGAAGGCATTATTTTTAGATGCTGGTTTTCCTTATCCTGATAGTTTTTACTTCTTATCCTAGGTAAGCCTATATAACGTGCTTTGATCAAATGTTACACAAAAAACGTACAAAATAATAACGGAGATGTATGTTTCAGCGAAGCACATCTTGGATTTTCTGCCAAGCCAAGGCTCGGTCTTCGCTCTAAAGTCGCCGACAGTAACGAATACTGTCTCTGTCGTATCAAAGAAGGACCTACCATCGCAGACGCACTACAAGGTGATAAAAAAAGACTGGTGGTATACCTATACAAAGACGCAGACAAGAATCTAAAGGTATTCACACCTTCCAAGGAGAAGCAACTACTGCTCCCAGATTTGAAATTTGAAAAGGGAGACAAAGTCACTAACGTTGGTTCAGAATCGGTACAACGACTATTTGATCCTGATAGGGCCATTGATCTGAAAAGAAATGATGCAGAAAATCTATTAGACGCCACTCCAGCTGATCTTACTGGCTACGCTGACCCTACTGATGAGAATCCCGTACAACCTCAAGCACCACCTTCCTATGTATTGGAAGAAGATCCATCAACAAACACAAATCCTGTAGATTTGAACTCTAATAGATTTAACGCAGAAAACCCCGAAGGTATACAAAATTATGCTTCGTTTATCAATGATCCAAAACTTAACCCTGTGATTGCTTCAGAAAATGGAAAGGTTAATAGTGACATATTGCATTCATTAAATTCCCCAGATAATAACATTTTCCTTCCCGGGAACTCACTATTTAAAGAGGATGTGACTGTGCCTTTGGGCAATGATAAAGGGACCTTTATAAACCAGGGAGACAGTGATTCGCCGTTTGCAAGCCAAATTAATAACAATCGTCCTGAAAGTACAGATTCCAATAATATTTCTTTTATCTCAAACTCAGACGATAAGTCACCTGTAAACCCAAATAGTCAAGATGCTTTTCCTAACTCGCTGGTAGATGAAAACAAAAATCAGCCAACAGAGGACGATAACTCTTTAAGTGAACCTGCAAATAATTATGTTTCACCGTACGCTGGACATGATTTACCTGACGCCTTTGACGATATTGATGTACCAACAGATGATAGCCCAAAAAACTTAGTCACAGAACCAGAATTAGAATCAGGATTAAAATTGCCGGGAATTAGAGATGATGAGCCTCAAGAAAGTCCTAGTGATAAATTATCGGTAAACCAAGTGCAACAACTAAATAATTTATACAGCACGATATACGAATATGTCACCTTTGACAAGTGGTTTGATCAGCAAATGCACAAGATACAAAATACAGGTCAGTCCCCAAACAAAAACTTTGATCTTTCTTCACTAAAGCAGCAATTAGAAAAAACATTATACGAAAACGGTATGTTTGTGACCAAGGATGGAGTGCTGATAGACTCTAAAGGAAAGGCCTTGAATGTAGCCAATTTGAAACTGCGACCGATTCTGATTGGTCATTCTGTGGCTTACGACAGTTTGTTTACCGTTAAAGATAGCGACAAATACGAAATGCCATCAAATCTGCCGTATTTGGAAGCGGTTTTGGTTACCTTAGTAAGTCCTCCAAAGATTTTAGGCGTTATTCCATTAGGAAAAACGTACGTCCCAAGAGTGTCGTATAGGAAGGAATTTGATTACTGGGCTTTAAAAACTAGTAACAACAATATAAGATGCCCATCTGGAAAATGTCCTAAGAAGAAATTCTACGAATGGCAGTATCTAAACCAGTATAACCCTTCAGGTATAAGAAGAAGTAGTGGTACTAAGAAGTTAAGTCCGCAGCAGATTAAGAGATTGCAGATTGAAATGCAAACCCGTTCCCAGAAGAAGGATGAAAGGAAGCGGGGTCAACGTAATAAACACACTAAGAGAAACAGCGCTCTAAATCAATTTCTGGAGGCTCTACAGTTGCTGGATAAGCAGATAAAAAATAATAACAGAGTGCCACCCACCACGAAGATGAATAAACAAAATCCGGTGACGTATGATGATGCTGATGTATTTGATGAAGGAAAAGATGAAGCAGAGGAGCTTCCGTGGTTTAGGATCATCGGTGGGAACCCGGCTACCAGCAGTGGGACTCCTGTGAGCAGTAAGGGTAGATCCGGTCGCCCTTATTAGACCCTGATTTTGAGTTACACTGGAAAACACATTAGACTTTTTTACAGTAGGTACGTAACTTAACGTAATTGAAAATACTTTCAGGGAAAAAAAACAAAAACGAAAGTCTACAACTACCTACCATACCCATATACCTACCTACATCAATATAAAAACTAATGTTTTCATAATTAATCTCAATCTAATTTAAATATTGAAAAAATCGACTGCCGAATCTCAGTTGGGAATTGAACCCACGACCACGATGAAAAGGCGTCTGCCTGATAGAATTGCAATAAAATTGTCGGTAAACTCGAAAGCTACGAGAATTTTAGGTTTGCAGCACTTTGTATGTTTCAACAGTATTAAAATTCAATCAAATTATGTTAATTGTTATAATGTTACATTGTCAATAAACAACGACTTCGCTTGATTAATGGAATTCTGATTTTATTAATAAATAGTTTGCAGCATCAATTTCTATGGGCTTTTATTTTTATTTTTATCGACATTCTGCCTTAATGTTACAAAATAAAACAATCAGAAAAAAGTGACATCTGTGTTTAGATACTTAAAATGCGTAGTAAAAGTTTTTACGCTACACTCTTTTTGCTTGTCTAATAAAAGCATTGCATCCTTCACAATCTAGTACTAATTTAGTACATAAGATGGCGTTGTAATGTACTTGATTCTGCGCCATCTAGAAATTAAAGTAAGAACTACACCGTCCATATCGCACATACCTTAGTACAAAATATGACCGCTAGATGTCACTAAACAGACCAAATACAACAGCGACACCTACCGGCGATTTTTGTTTGCCAAGTTTCCTAAACCTTCGTGAACCAAATCAAAGT